AACCACATTTCAAATTTAGTGCATTTTCTATTTAATTTACTGTAAATTTATTACATAAAAATTCGAGTTTCTAAAGTCCAAAATTTCAGGATTCAACCAAATCCAAATTGTTTCACATTTGAAACTTCTCATGTTCATAAGTAAACATTTCTAAAACCTTATCAATCCTACATTTTAACAACAATCTTATTTCCACCAATGTCCCAATTGTACCAAATTTAGTACTTTTTGAACTCATAAGTACGAATTTCCAAATGTACCTCAATCCTGCTTTCCAATAGTGATCGTTAGTCCAAATTTATGAATTCCAGTTCTGCCTGTTCATTAAAAACCAATTTTTACCAGTTTTGGTACCATTCTGTACTTTTCGTACCCACATTCCGATCCTATCTTAATATTCTAAACCTGATTTCAAATAGCAATTCGTAAGTCCAAATTTAAGAATTCCAGCTCTGTTTATTCACCAAAATGTACCAGATTTCGTACCATTTTGTATGCATATTCCAAACCTATATCAATCATACACTCTCACAGTAACCGAAGTTGCAACTTTCAGGATTCGAAAACAATTTGTAAACTATTTGGTACCATTTAGTACTTTTTTCCCATTTAGTACTTTTATTCCAAGTTCAAGCAAAATCAAAAATGTACTAAATTTTGTACCATTTAGCACTTTTCGTACCAATAAGTACGAATTTCCAAAACTACCTCAATCCTACACTGCAACAGTCATTTAATTCCCAATTTGAAGACTCCAGCTCTATCTGTTCACCTAAATCCAACATGCACCAAATTTAGTACCATTAAGTACTTTTCGTACACATAAGTGCATTTTTTTTTAATCTACCTCAGTCCTGTACAAGCAAATTCTGACCGCAAAAGAAATCAAGCTCTATACAAAATTTGGTGTCATTTGTACTGTTTTTAAATTTTCAAATTTCAAATATAGCTTCACCCAAATCCAAATTATGTACCAGTTAGTAAACATAAATATATAAATTGTCATAACTTCCTACATTAACATACGAATTTCCAACACTTCCCACATACCCCAATCTTAATTTCAAATTTCAGGATTCCATTGGTTCAGCTAAATCCAATTTGTTTCAAATTTAGTGCCATTTAATACACATAGGTACAAATTTCCATTACAACCTACATCATGCAATCCAATGAAAATCTTATTACTCAATTTCATGGTTTCATCTGATTTCGGTTAACTTTTAATCCAAACTGTGCCAAATCTAGTGCCATTTAGTAAACATTAGTATACATTTCCAAATCTTCCTACATACCCCATTCGAACCCACCAACAGTAATCCTAACAACCATTTGGTACCATTTTGTAAACATTATTACGAATGTCCAAAACTTTCTACATATCCCAATCCTATTCCCCGACAGTGACCCTAACTTCAAATTTCAAGATTCTGTATCAAATGTACCAAATTTAGTACACAGTAGTACTAATTCCCAAACTTCTTGCATACCCCAATCCTACCCGCCATACAGATCCTAAATCCAAGTTTCAGGATTCCAACTCTATCGGTTCACCCACAATTTAAATTGTACCATATTTAGTATACATTAGTACATTCTAGCTCAATTGGTTCATCAAAAATTCAAATTTTACCAAATTTAGTACCATTTAGTACGAATATCAAAAAATTCCAACATAACCCAAACCAACACCCCACAGTGCTCCAAAATCTAAATTTCAGGATTCCAACTCTATCGGTTCACCCACAATTCAAATTGTACCAAATTTAGTACACAGTGGTACGAATTTCCAAAACTTCCTACTTAACTCAAACCAACACCCCCACAGTGATCCTAAATCCAAGTTTCAGGATTCCAATTCCATCGGTTCACCCACAATTTAAATTGTACCAAATTTAGTACAAAATTTTAAAACTCCCTACATATCTCAATCTTTCACCTCAACAATGATCCTGACTCCAAAATTTCATGATTCTAGCTCAATTGGTTTACCAAAAAATCAAATTGTACCAAATTTAGTACCATTTAGTACGAATTTCAAAAACTTCCATCTTAACCCAAATCAACACCCCCACAGTGCTCCAAAATCTAAATTTCAGGATTCCAACTCTAACGGTTCACCCACAATTCAAATTGTACTAAATTTAGTACACAGTGGTACGAATTTCCAAAACTTCCTACTTAACTCAAACCAACACCCCCACAGTGATCCTAAATCCAAGTTTCAGGATTCCAATACCATCGGTTCACCCACAAATTAAATTGTACCAAATTTAGTACACATTAGTACAAATTTTTAGAACTCCCTACATATCTCAATCTTACACCTCAACAATGATCCTGTCTCCAAATTTCATGATTCTAGCTCAATTTGTTCACCTAAAATTCAAATTGTACCAAATTTAGTACCATTTAGTACCCATAAGTAATAATGTCTTAAACTGAGTCCTGACCCCAATCCTACACCCCTACAGTGATCCTGACTCCAAATTTTATTGTTCCCGCTCTATCGGTTCACCCAAATCCAAATTGTACCAATTATAGTACGATTTAGTACTTTTCGCACACATAAGTAACAAATTTCCAAAACTACGTACATATCACAATCCTATACTCCGACGGTAATGTTACTTTCAATTTTCAGGATTCTAGCTCCATTTGTAGCTCCAAATCAAATTTGTACCAAATATAGTACCATATAGTACTTTTCGTACACATGAGTACACGGTTTCAAAACCATCTCCTTATATCGACCCTACTTCCCAACCCTAATTCGCATTCCAAATTTCAAGTTTTTAGCTCTATCCGTTCTCATGCTACAGAATTGTACCAAATTTAGTACATTTTCGTACATTTCGGATAGTTATAGTTCGAATTTCCAACAACCCTTTGGTACATCTATTCTACACTCCATCATCGACCACCAAACCAAATTTCAGAGTTCTAGCTCCACCGGTTCGCCAAATACAAATGGCATCACATTTAGTACGTTTTAGTACTTTTCGTACCCTTCTAGTACGAATTTCCAAAAACCCAGCCTTATCTGTCACATTTGGGCCAAGAGTGACCCTCACCCAAAATTTCAAGATTCTAGCTTCAGCCGTTTCGTCTGGGCGTTGATGAATCGTTAAATCAGTCAGTCAGTCAATCACTTTACTCTTTTATTAGTATAGATTCTTTTTGAAAATAATTTGTATTTAAAAACAAAATATTCCACAGAAACATGCCATGATATCTCGAAAACTCTTTATGTTATATCTGTTATATATTAGCCAAAATTCTTTGATCTGCCACATAGGAAGTTTTGGCTTTGCTTTATTGCTAAAACTTTCCCTTAGTGGTTTTTCCTGTTCACTTTTCTTTCCTCTATTTTTTGGTATTTATTTGTTCTTCTATGCATTTTATTAGCTTTTGATCAAATTGTAAATGTATTTGGTTTTTTCCTGCATCGTTTTATAGATTATTTATTATAGTTTATCATTTCCACCCTACTAAGCTCTGCATTAATATTATTTTCTTAGCTGTTATTCTGTTTTCATTTGTAATTTCTGTATGGTGGTATATCTTCCTCTTTTTTACCACATTTTTGCTGTTTCCGTTCCGAGCAGTTTTCCTTTTCGTCGTTTTACTTTGAAGGAACATAACATTTTAACAAATCTCCAGTAATAAATCATTTTTGTGGTATTTGCTGGTATTTGGAGGGTCTTGATGGCATAGAGGAATCTTCTGTTGCACTTCGGTTTCGAAGAACGTGTATTTATGAGAACTTATACGGGGATTCTTATGGATTTGATGTGAGCGTGAGAAAGTCTTGTTTTGGTTTGTTGGTAACGACAAAATATGTGTGTGTATAGTGTGTGTGTGGTTGTTACTCCGAATTACATTGTGTTCGGAATGTGTGGTTGGTTATACTGCACTTTTTGTTGTCTCGAAATGCAATAATAATATTCGTTAGCATTTTGTTCGTAGGGTGGTAACATTCCCAAAACCAAAACATCGACATTTTTCACATCGTTTTAAACACTTGAATGGTGTTGGGTTTACTCAAGGAAAACAAAATAATAGAGTGGTTCCAATTGTAAATAAAAATGAAATGTTTTCAATTTAAAAGCAAGAAACAAATATAAAGATCTATTGAATATTTTCTCGATAGCTTGTAGCACTTGGGTATATTAACTTCACATCAATCGATCAATACATTGCAAATTATTAATAATTGTAACTTCGTAACTTATAGGAAACAATGAGAAATCGTCGTTAACCCACTTCAATGTTTGCTTTCAATGTGAAGTAATCCCATAAACGTGTTTTTTTACACACATCTTATTTATTTTGTGGGTGTTGCTGGACAACAACATATAGTGCCTTTGTATGTGTTCAGTCTTATTAGTATTTTGCAGAGAATATATTTTTTCCAGCAGCACAGCGAAATGCAATATCCTTTTTTGAGTGGAGTGTTTAGAGTTAATAGAAAATATTTCAGTATTATCCATTTTTGTTGGCTTTAATACAAATACAATGACCAGCCATGCCCAGTTCAGTGTGTGTGTGCTGTGGTTGAAACCGTGTTTTTTCTGTGTTTGGTTTGTTTTTGTCTTGTGGCTACTGGCATGATGACTGACTAGCACACAAACCCAGCCATTATTCAGTTATCAAGAAATAAAGAAAATTCTGTTGCTGCTGCTGTTGCTCCTGCTTCGTTAAAATCCCATTAATATTTATAAGCTGCTTTATGGCTTTGAGAAGGTTTTCCTTCTTTTTTTGTGAATTCGCTCATGTGTGTGTGTTTCAGTTTCTTTTTTAGGTCACTTCATCCATTTACCCTGTCCATAGCTGTGTGATTTTTTCCCTATAGATCAAAGCAGTGGGAAACATATTTATTTTTATGTTTGTTTTCCTTCTTTCTTCCTTTTCTTCGTTAAGATTTTCATCTCTAATTGCGTTGCCAAGATGTGGAGAGATTCATTCATATTTTCTATAGACAAAAATGGGGAACTTACCTGAAACTACGTTCGGATATATCCTGTAATTCGTTGTCAATAAGTTTTAATGTTTTCAGTCTGAGACCCTGAAATGTTTCGTCATCGACACTCTGCAGGTGGGTGTTGGACATTTCAATGTAGCGCACCGAGCTGTGTATGAATTCTGCAAATAAAGAACGAAGGCAAAGACAAAAAGAAATCGCCATTAAAGTATCTGAATTCTTTGGGCAAAACAATAATAAAAATTATTTAATATTTCCTTTATTCTGGTGTTGCTGTTGTTGTTATTATTATTATTGGTTTTATTCGCTATCGCCTTGTTGGGAATTTTCCTAGCCGTATCGACGGATTTTTATGTAAATTTGGTGTCAACGTTTGTTTCCACAACGTGCAGTTTAACAAAAGGGAAATTTGTTCAATTGATAAAAATCTGGCAATTTCGTTATGTCCCAGTATTCCCAATATCCCATAAACACACAGACACCAACCAACTTAAAAAAGGATACAACAAAATGGAGAGAAAATATAGGAAGACGAGAACGCTTATAAATATTTCGTTTTCTTAAATTTAATTTAACAGAAAAAATATGCAAATATTTACTTAACAATCACCAAACATTTCATTCACAATAAACTGGATACGCTCAAAAAAAACACACACACGGAGGACGGAAGGGTAAACATCCAAAAAAAAAGTTGAGATGGGTACTTTGTTTGTTTGCCTAGGCAATCAACTTCCGAAAAAATAATTGTAATTGGTGAATCCTTTGGACAGCGTGATAAAGCCAAAAAGTAGGGGATTAAAAATCGTTTACTTATATCTAGTTAAATAATCTAACATTTATATATTTTTATACGATTTTTCAAATTTTTGCAGGCATATTGGATTTATCAATATAAGACGTTGACATCATTTTGTCAAATACTATCAGAAAACATAGATTTTTTACAATCATTTTCTACGACTATCCTAATGCAGTGTTTTTCATCAAAGAGTAGATTGAAATTATTTTTCTGAAAACGAATGTTTTAATTATTTTTAACGCTGTTATAATCTGATGTTGTGGATATTCTGATAATCTGTTGTTGATATAGTTTGATGTTGTTGACATACATTTTTTTCTGTACGATACTTTATAATAAGTTTTCTATATGGCCATTCCAATATAAAAAAGTAAATAAAAAAGTTTACGGTACAACCTAATAAATTCTCTGTATGTTATTCCATCCATCCCACACATCTTTATGTAAGTAAACAATGTGCTGACTATATGTAAATGAAGTTTACAGCGGCAAGGATGGATGATTTAAATGAATTTTTATACTTTTGTCAAGAAATCACTCACTCACATACGCACATTGTGGCTATACAGAAGTGCCACACTCACACTCCCACACAACCACACTCTTCCATTTCATCAACTATACAGTTGGATGGCTTTGTGTGTCTTAAACTTTGCAGCAACAATAACATAAAGACTTGCTATAAATAAATAAATTTTTTTGTTATTGTTTAAAACTGAGCTATGTTAGTATATATATATATTGCATACATTTGAATATGTAATAGAACCGTCTGTGCGTCTCTACAATATTGTGGTTTTATTTTGGCGAATATATTTTTTGAAAACACATATGAATAAAAAATAGTTATGTAGTTTGAGTCAAGTTTGCGGACTTGTGCGTGCGTGTTGAGCAAAAGAAAGAAATGTTTTTCAAAACACAGACCATAAATGCCACATTTTTGAGGTTTTCTACAATGTTTTCTTTCACAATATGCGCACATAGGGAGCTTTTCAATGACGCTGTTTCGCTCACTGTTTGCCTGGAAACATGGAGAATGTTTTTCAAATTTGCCCAGCCATTTATGTATCTCCGGTTGTTGTTGTTGTTAGTAGTAGTTGGCCTTACTGTTGTACGAGTGGTACCTACCTAACGACTGACTGTCTGACTGACTAGCAACAACTAGGAAACTTGTTGAAACACATAACATTTACATTTTATGTAGATTTCGTTTTTTCGTTGGTGGATTTTTATTCCGAGTGTGCTCTTTGGATCTGCATATTATTTTACGGGGGTTTTCTCCATCTCGAAGGCTATGATGCTTCTTGTTGTCGTTGCTTGAAGTTTCTTACATACATACGCACACACACACACATTTATCAAAATGAAAGAATGCCAACAAAATGAATACAAACTGACTCACACACCCATACATATGGTGTGGTGTGGTATATTTCTAATACGTTTAAGTTGAATTATTTAACAGACAAAAGGAGTTGTGTACAAAACTATTTTGCAAATTTTCTTTGGAAATTGTGGTCTATTCTCCAATTTCTAAAATAGTTTATGCATAAATTTTAATTTATTAAATCTGTATTTTCGCAAGTTTAACATGTTTTCATGAATGATTGACATTTAAGTTATTTTTACAATAATGACTTGGGGTTATTGTTTTACATTGATTTATCACACATGGATTTGGATACACAATTTGTGAAACAAAGAAAATATTGAACTTCTTATAATGCAGAAAATTATTCAAAAAGATTCCAACAGCCCAAAATATTATTGTTTGTTTATGTATCCCGCACTAAATAAAGGGGTTTCCAACATACATTTTGTCGTATCAGTTCTCATCATGATAATCTGACTATTTGATTACAATATTTTTCATATACACATAACAAAAGCAGCTTCCATAAATGAATTTAATGATTGTAAAAAATGGTTGCCCATCTGTAAGTTTTTTTTTTTCCAATAAAAAAAATCGCATAAAGAACTATACAGCTTCTTTAAAAAAGTTTTTAATTACAAGCAATTGCACTAACAACAGATAATCACCCAGCAAAGTTGTTCATTAAAAAGGACTTAAAAATAAGTTACGATATGAACTCCAGAAAAAATACCGTTATGGACCATGAAAAGTACAACGAAGTTTGCTGATATTTAATATTTTGAAAATTTTTTACAACACGGTAAGACATGTTTTATAAACAGGTGTCATTGGCATGGAATTGGGCATAAAATTTAAATATCAGTCGTTTTTACCGAGGGCGTCTTCAATACCTCATAATGTATATTTTGATTGGACAATGTTCCTATGTTCGGTTTAAGGTATTTATAAATCTCGGACACGTTTTATAAATATCTTGTCTTCAATAAATTGAAAATTCGGTCAATCGGTACTGATATGATACTATGCGCAAATACCAAAATGTATTAAAATATGCTTTAAATAAATAAATAAATATATATTTTTAAAATGTATACTCTTCCCTTAAAATACTTCAAATACCGCATTCTAACTCACCAAGAAATAAAACAATCAGTGAGTGTAGCAGTATAGTCGGACGGAGCCAACCATATATTCCGTGCCTGGGCGAAATTTCGCAGTATTTGCAGCCTCTTAATCGATTGAAGATCAAGAGCTTTTCTTACACTGGCATTTTTCGAATCATGTTTTCCCGGAGTAAACATTTACGCCATACGATTCAAGTTATTCAAGTTCATTTACCCTAAATAAATACCTGGCCAAGTCTTTTTTTGTGATGTTCGGTTTAGAATAACCGACCAGGTAACTACAGAAAAAGTTTTTGATCCATTCCATTATCTGATCATCACCGAAATTTGTAGGTGTCATACCTGAACATACCCGGAACCTCATGTCTAACTTCATAATTATCCGAGTACATACAACAATATAATTGGTATCAATTTAAAGGGCAAACACTCCTCTTCTTCAACTTCTATAGTTGATGATATATACGCCATAGAATAGGAATTTTGCAAGTTTTTGCACAAAAGTCTGGGTCCATTTGACCATTAAATATTGACCGATTTTCATCAAAACAGTCATGTGTATTCCATGGTCATACCATTCGTGATGTTCGGGTCAAAATTGAGGCCCCCAAAGCGACCAGAAAACAGACAAATTTAAAGTTGTATATCCATTTTAGACCTTAAATATTTACCGACCAATATCAAAAACTAAAGGGGTCTTTTGGTCCACTGTTGCCTGTATCGTAGATCGACTCAGCTAGTCGAGGTAGCCACACAAAGCTATAATACCCTTAGAATATAGTTGTGGTATTCCGAGCGTAAAAATAAATTTTCAAGCACTCAATTTTCTGTCATGAATTTTAATCTTAAACTTGCAAAATTAACTTCACTTAGTCTAAATTGCAATCTTCATGTTATTATAATCTATATATTTTTAAATGTTTATTGTCAAATCTTGATGGTGGTTTAAACTTTTTTCATTTTTTTTTTCAATCACACATCCATATTGATTTATTTAATCGAAAAGTTCAATTAAGTGCCATATCAATCTACCACATTCATCGAATAAAGTGTGTTATTATTGAATTCCAGGAACACAATTTTTGGATCATAGGTTGAGAAATATTTACATGGTCATCAGTATTCAACTGTAATTTGCATATTGGTAACTTTAATACGTGCTATGGGTGTAGTTTGATTTTATTCTTCATTGGAATTCTTTATTTGAAATTATCCTTCCTATATGCAGCATAAATTTGAGATTTTCATATTTAAAAAAAAAATCATTCATCCCCAATTTGAATTATCAACCCTCCTATTTCTTCCGATTTCTTTGCATGATTTATGTGTAGTTCTAGTCAATACCTCCATCTGTATATACCCGTATCTTATATCTTCTTTGGAAATGGCAACCATTCGCGCTCTAATATCGGAAAATTGATTGAAATTTGCACTTGAATAAATTATGAAATAAAAACGTGATGTTGCTGCCATCAATCTGGATATTGGTAAATGAACATTTGTATGTATGCGCATAAATTGTATGTATGTATATGTATGCATGTATGTTGTTTGGTATTAGAAGGCGAACGGCTTCCAGCATCAATTTCTACTAAATATGTCAAGGTGGACATTAATGGCTTTACTCTACAATAAAGCTAAATATGGAATAAAATTGGATTTGCATGAAAGGAAATGCTAAATGGATATAATCCACAGATTATCAATAAACCAATGTATTTAGATATGTTATTATAACGTTTGGAGAATATTTATTGTTGAATATTCACCAATGGTTTGCATATAAACTACGAATTTAAGTTGTCTCTTATTTAAAGTTGAGACAACATTGGCGGAATAAAATATATGTTTTATATAATG